CATTGATGCCCCACGAGGTGAGATCTTGCATGGAGCCCCAGACCGAGGGTGATTGACCGTCACCTTGAACTTCTTCCATTTTCTAATAATTGCGCCAACAGTTGTTGCCTTCTCACCAAGCTGCTTGCCTGTTGTCCTGTAGCCCATCCCAGCCTTGTGCAGGTCTACAATTTTATCCCTGATGTCCTTACACAGCTCTCTGGTCTTGGCCATTGTGGAGAGGTTGGAGTCTGTTTGATTGAGTGTGTGGACAGGTGTCTTTTATACAGGTAACGAGTTCAAACAGGTGCAGTTAATACAGGTAATGAGTGGAGAACAGGAGGGCTTCTTAAAGAAAAACTAACAGGTCTGTGAGAGCCGGAATTCTTACTGGTTGGTAGGTGATCAAATACTTATGTCATGCAATACAATGCAAATGAATTACTTAAAAATCATACAATGTGATTTTCTGGATTTTTGTTTTAGATTCCGTCTCTCACAGTTGAAGTGTACCTATGAAAATTACAGACCTCTACATGCTTTGTAAGTAGGAAAACCTGCAAAATCGGCAGTGTATCAAATACTTGTTCTCCCCACTGTATGTTTTACTGTTTTAAAGCGTATTTCCTGGAATTCAGCTCATTTTTATATGATACAAAAGGGTCGAAGCTTGACCGACTCAAATGTTTTATTTAAATTTTAAAAAATTGTAGTCTGGACACCATTTGTACTATTGACCCCGTTCTGGGTCCAGATCCGGACCGCAGTCCGCCAGTTGAGTATGGGCCCTTAGGGGTATCCCTTATTGGGACCGTGGTTAGGGCGTTCGTCATTGGTGCTGGTGGCCTGGGTTCAAGACCTGCTAGGGGAGACACTACTCTCACATTCTTAGCAATATACAGTGGGGGAAAAAAGTATTTAGTCAGCCACCAATTGTGCAAGTTCTCCCACTTAAAAAGATTAGAGAGGCCTGTAATTTTTACCATAGGTACACGTCAACTATGACAGATAAATTGAGTTGGCTTTTTAATGAATTTATTTGCAAATTATGGTGGAAAATAAGTATTTGGTCACCTACAAACAAGCAAGATTTCTGGCTCTCACAGACCTGTAACTTCTTCTTTAAGAGGCTCCTCTGTCCTCCACTCGTTACCTGTATTAATGGCACCTGTTTGAACTTGTTATCAGTATAAAAGACACCTGTCCACAACCTCAAACAGTCACACTCCAAACTCCACTATGGCCAAGACCAAAGAGCTGTCAAAGGACACCAGAAACAAAATTGTAGACCTGCACCAGGCTGGGAAGACTGAATCTGCAATAGGTAAGCAGCTTGGTTTGAAGAAATCAACTGTGGGAGCAATTATTAGGAAATGGAAGACATACAAGACCACTGATAATCTCCCTCGATCTGGGGCTCCACGCAAGATCTCACCCCGTGGGGTCAAAATGATTACAAGAACGGTGAGCAAAAATCCCAGAACCACACGGGGGGACCTAGTGAATGACCTGCAGAGAGCTGGGACCAAAGTAACAAAGCCTACCATCAGTAACACACTACGCCGCCAGGGACTCAAATCCTGCAGTGCCAGACGTGTCCCCCTGCTTAAGCCAGTACATGTCCAGGCCCGTCTGAAGTTTGCTAGAGTGCATTTGGATGATCCAGAAGAGGATTGGGAGAATGTCATATGGTCAGATGAAACCAAAATAGAACTTTTTGGTAAAAACTCAACTCGTCGTGTTTGGAGGACAACGAATGCTGAGTTGCATCCAAAGAACACCATACCTACTGTGAAGCATGGGGGTGGAAACATCATGCTTTGGGGCTGTTTTTCTGCAAAGGGACCAGGACGACTGGTCCGTGTAAAGGAAAGAATGAATGGGGCCATGTATCGTGAGATTTTGAGTGAAAACCTCCTTCCATCAGCAAGGGCATTGAAGATGAAACGTGGCTGGGTCTTTCAGCATGACAATGATCCCAAACACACCACCCGGGCAACGAAGGAGTGGCTTCGTAAGAAGCATTTCAAGGTCCTGGAGTGGCCTAGCCAGTCTCCAGATCTCAACCCCATAGAAAATCTTTGGAGGGAGTTGAAAGTCTGTGTCGCCCAGCGACAGCCCCAAAACATCACTGCTCTAGAGGAGATCTGCATGGAGGAATGGGCCAAAATACCAGCAACAGTGTGTGAAAACCTTGTGAAGACTTACAGAAAACGTTTGACCTGTGTCATTGCCAACAAAGGGTATATAACAAAGTATTGAGAAACTTTTGTTATTGACCAAATACTTATTTTCCACCATAATTAGCAAATAAATTCATTAAAAATCCTACAATGTGATTTTCTGGATTTTTTTTTCTCATTTTGTCTGTCATAGTTGACGTGTACCTATGATGAAAATTACATTCCTCTCTCATCTTTTTAAGTGGGAGAACTTGCACAATTGGTGGCTGACTAAATACTTTTTTCCCCACTGTATGTTAATGTAATTATTTAGCAACAGTTACAACACCCCTAACTGATCTAATTAAAATTGGTTTCTCATTGAAAGATGGGAATCTGTAGGATTACCCCTTGAACACAAATTGTGACCACATGTCCACTACCTCTCATAAATTATCAGTATTTATTGATTCTAAATAGTTGAGCATCTCTCCATCGTCTTCTTGTAGTCAAAGTGTGTCAAATATGTGTGTGTGTGTGCGTGCGTGTTCATAACCTTGCCAACAGAGAAAGCGCCGTAAATGGATCAGTGGTTCACCAATCGGGCCTTGATGTGCTCGGAAACAGTAACAAGGCGTGGTGTGTAATGAAAACATTCTTGTTGTTGTTGAGAACGTTTCTTTAGGACAATCAGGTGACGTTCTGACACACAGAAATGTTACTGCAACGTTCCCATGAAACGTGTGTAGAACATTTCTCATCTTATATTCTGAGAACATGGCAACCATGTTCTGTGTATGTTTGGTGGGACATTAATGGAATATTTTCCTAACCCTCAGAGAACTGGACACAGGAATGTTCTTGCAATGTTCCAATGAAACGTGTTTAGAACATTAATATCTTATATTCTGAGAACATGGCAACATGTTCTGTGTATGTTTGGTGGGACATTGATGGAATATTCTCCTAACCCTCGGAAAACTGGACACAGGAATGTGCTTGCAACATTCCCATGTGTGTCAAGAACATTAATATTGGATAATCTGAGAACATGGCAACCACGTTCTGGGTAAATTCTGTTTGACATTTAGGGAATGCTCTCCTAACGCTAATGTTTTTTGCTAACAAACATAGAATGTTCCCCTAATTAATGGAAAACTGGACACTCAAATATCTGGGTAACATTACAAAAACGTTCTCTCTCCTAAATAAAATGCTCTGGGCATATATATCTCTATGGTGTATTTATTATATTTATATAAATTATAATTTTAATGTGAAAAGAACATGTAGATGAACAGCAAATAGCTTTTCCCTTTTCCTGTGTTTTTGAGTATATATTTAATGTTTCAAAATGTCTGAAAATACAATGCAATAATCTAGCCATTGATTGGAGAAAAAGTGTTTCACTTAGACAATCAATTAGTACAAGTTTTTTCACATTTACCTATTTGTGGAACCTTGTGGGCTATGTCAAAATTAGACAATCAATTGATCATAATTTTTTGAGATTGCTTTGATATTTTATTTTGCTGTCTCTTTACCCAAAATAATTTAATTGGCTCTTCTTTCTCTTGCGATTGGCTGTCGCCTGTTTCCGGGGCTCACAGTAGTGATGTTTCACGGTCTGCTTTGAGACGGTCATGGCTAGAAGGGATCCAGCTTTTGTCAAATTAACGTCAAAAGTTGAAATGTTTAGCATTTTAGCTAAGCTTTTCCATAGCCTTAACCTAATTATCCTACCCTGCTACGTTGATTCTCCGAACCTGCTAGTACGGAAAGTCAAATCTAACAAAAGCTGTATCCATTCTAACCATGACCGCTTTGAGCTCGTAGACCAGTTTGAGAAAGACTTGGGGAGAATGGCTGCCAGTGGAGGTTAGCGTTTCTTGATTGTTTGTGTTGACGATTCAAACTTATTTAACGCATTTTAAAGTTCCATAATTCATACTGAAGGATATATAAAAACCGAGATTACACTCTGACAAAAGTAATAGACAATGACGATTATTTCGCTTCGTTTTAGCTACAAGTGAAGCTGTAAGTGAATGGCTTCTTTAAAATGTGTGCTAACTAGTTAGCATTGCTACAACGTTAGCTAACTCGATCAGATAGATGGCTGTAAACAATTGCATGTCTTTGTATGCAAATGATAGTCGTGGCTAACACAGTAAACCTTTTCGTGGCTATCTTAGCTTTTATTAATAGCTGTCAAGAAAGTGTGTAGTTAGCTAGTTGACTAGCTAATATCTACCGATACTATAGCTAGCCAGCAGGAAAGTAGATATGTCCGGCTAACTAGCTAGAGTATTTTAACGTACCCACGTCTCATCCTGACGAAGGATTAACCGTGGTTGGCCAGTTTACTTGGATAGGTAGCTAGCTCCATGTCAACATCATGAGCACGATATACTTGACGATCAAATTAGATTAATGACTAGCCGTTAGTTGGTTTTAGTGACCGCTTTGACAGGTTTAACGTTAAGTTGTTAAAAGATTGCTAACTAGCTACTTTAGCCGGCTAATAATGCCGCGGAAGGCTTGCTTTGGTGCTATCCAACTGAGTTTCTAATCCGCAGAGCTAGCTAGCTTGTTGTGAAAGCCTCGTTGTTTTGGACGGGTCTTTGTTCTGTCAATAAGTTAAGTCGAGCACACAAGTTGAACTGGGTGGGTGATTTCCATGGTACACTGGTAACGCGTTAGCACTACAAACAAGAAATCTCAAGTGTCGAAAAGTAATTTTAGTTCAGCAATAGATTCACATTACTAATCTCCACGTGTTGTAACTAGAGTATTTGCTCTCCACGCTGTGTAAAGTACACTTTATTCAATTGTTGTGCTGCATATATCTAGCTAATGATGCCACTAACGTTAAGTAATATTTAGTACCAACATAATTTCACAATCTGTAGTATTTTGTTTGTCTCTCTCCTATGTAACTGTTGTTTAATCCATAATTTTAAAAAGGCATGTTGTCTCTTATGTTTGTTCCATAGACGTAGGCAAGCTGTTACAAGTACAGAATGGCACTCCTGCAAACACGACCTACAGTGGGGTTGATGCCGTTCATGCCTGTAACATCCTCCAGCAGCTCAAAGCCTTGTATGATGAAGCACAGCTCACAGACATTGTCGTTGAGGTGGACCATGGCAAAAGATTTTCGTGTCACCGAAATGTCCTTGCAGCAATCAGCCCTTACTTTAGGTAGGTCAGATATGTGTGAGGCGTTTGCTTGCTTCTAGTCCTTTACATTTGGGATATCACTTAGAGTTGAGGGAAATGTATTAGCTATGCTGAGTTTTTGAAGGGTCAAACTTTTATATGATAACAAATGCCGCAACTAGCCCGAGTGCCAGTCTGTTTGCGCCATCATGCCAACTCTGCCACTTATTGTCATGTCAATGACAGCAATGGGGTAGGCAAGAGCACAAACAGATCTGGGACCAGAATATGCTGCAACACCATTCAAGATTTATGCACTTTCAGTTGTATTTCCTCTTCTTCCTACCAGGTCCATGTTCACCAGTGGCCTTACAGAGAGCAGCCAGAGGGAGGTGCGGCTCGTCGGGGTTGAGTCTGAGTCCATGCACCTGGTCCTGGACTATGCCTACACGTCCAGAGTCATGCTCTCCGAGTCCAATGTCCAGGCCCTGTTCACGGCAGCCAGCATCTTCCAGATCCCAGCCCTGCAGGACCAGTGTGCCCAGTTCATGATCAGCCGCCTGGACCCCCAGAACTGCACCGGGGTCTACATGTTTGCAGACGCCTATGGCCACCAGTTGCTGAGGGAGCGCTCCCAGGACTACATACGCAAGAAGGTTGGTTTTATTCTAAGAACAAGCTGTTCTGTTCCACTGTTATGCTTCACTTTGCTCACCTTTTGGGAAGGATTAATGTATGGAACTGTTGTTAATATGGCCTTATAACTACAGTAATGTGAGAACACATTGGGGTAGATGACACAGTAAATAAGATTTAGATAAGTTTCCCAGGTCTGCATCTGTTAGTTGAGCATGCTGTGACAGATGAAATGTGACATGCGTGTTGTGCTGTGTTGCAGTTCCTGTGTGTGGCAAGGGAGCAGGAGTTCCTCCAGCTCACCAAGGAGCAGCTGGTGAGCATCCTGAACAACGATGACCTGAACGTGGAGAAGGAAGAGCATGTGTATGAGAGCATCGTGCGCTGGCTGGAGCACGACAGCCCTCGCAGGGAGGCCCACCTTGCTGAGGTGTTCTCTCAATGCATCCGACTGCCCCTCCTGGATGATTCTTTTCTCAGCCGCATCCCGGCCCCCTTCGCCTGCGCCCTCTCCCTGTCTAGAGAACCTGCCGAAGCCAAGGCACGTCTCAACGGCTGCTCTCAGCGCCTGGGCATGACCGCCTCCGAGATGGTCATCTGCTTTGACGCAGCACACAAACACTCAGGGAAGAAGCAAACCGTGCCTTGCTTGGACACTGCTGCTGGGAGGTTGTTCAAGCTCTGCAAGCCCCCCAATGACCTGCGGGAGGTGGGCATCCTGGTGTCATCAGAGAACGACATCTTCATCGCCGGGGGCTACCGCCCTAGCAACAGCGAGGTGTCCATCGACCACCGGGCGGAGAGCGACTTCTGGCAGTACGAGCATGCAGGGAACCGTTGGCTGGCGCGTTCGCCCATGCTGCGGGCCCGGATCGGCTGCAGGCTGGTCCACTGCTGTGGGAAGCTGTACGCCCTGGGGGGCCGTGTGTACGAAGGGGACGGAAGGAATGCACTGAGGTCAGTGGAGTGCTACGATGCCAGGGATAACTGCTGGACCGCCGTCAGCCCCATGCCTGTAGCCATGGAGTTCCACAGCGCTGTGGAGTACAGAGACCGCATCTACATCCTCCAAGGTGAGTCGGGATAGTGGAGCGACTATGCAACCTTGAAATGCAGTGGGAAAAAGATACAGGAGAGGTGTTTTATTTTTCCAAGTAAGTTAATTGAGAACACGTTCTCATTTACAGCCAATACCTGGGGAATAGTGACAGGGGAGATGAATGAGCCAATTGGAAGCTGGGGATGATTAGGTGTCCATGATGGTATGAGGGCCAGATTGGGAATTTAAAATCAAATCAAATCAAATTTTATTGGTCACATGCGCCGAATACAACAGGTGCAGACATTACAGTGAAATGCTTACTTACAGCCCTTAACCAACAGTGCATTTATTTTAAACAAAAAAGTAAGAATAAAACAACAACAAAAAAGTGTTGAGAAAAAAAGAGCAGAAGTAAAAAATAAAGTGACAGTAGGGAGGCTATATATACAATAGAATAAAGTGACAGTAGGGAGGCTATATATACAGGGGGGTACCGTTGCGGGGGCACCGGCTAGTTGAGGTAGTTGAGGTAATATGTACATGCCAGGCAACCGGGGTTAACATCCCTACTCTTACAATAAGTGGCATGGGATCTTTAGTGACCACAGAGAGTCAGGACACCCGTTTAACGTCCCATCTTTAAGACAGCACCCAACACAGAGCAATGTTCCCAATCAGTGCCTCCTACTGGCCCTCCAACACCACTTCCAGCAGCATCTGGTCTCCCAACCAGGACCAACCCTGCTTAGCTTCAGAGGTAAGCCAGCAGTGGGATGCAAGGTGGTATGCTGCTGGCAGGTGTAGGAGACTAAATAAAGTGTATTTGAAAGCTACACTTCATTTCTTTTTCAAAATGTGTCTTAACACTGGTGCTTCTTTTCTCTGTTTAACAGATGAATACTTCTTCTGTTTCGACCCTCGCAAGGACTACTGGGGCCACTTGTCCCCCATGAGTGTCCCCCGGAGCCAGGGTCTGGTTGCCTTACACAAGAACTGCATCTACTACATCGCTGGCATCTGCAGGAACCACCAGCGCACCTTCACCATGGAGGTCTACGACATCGAGCAGAACACCTGGGCCCGCAAGAAGGACCTTCCCTTCGACCAGGCCACCAGCCCCTACATCAAGGCCCTGCTCCTCCAGGGCAAGCTGCACCTGTTTGTCCGAGCCACGCAGGTCATGGTGGAGGAACACGTGTTCCGTACCAGCAGGAAGAACTCCCTCTACCAGTACGACGACAAGGCGGACGCGTGGACCAAAGTCTACGAGACGCCTGACCGCCTCTGGGACCTGGGCCGCCATTTTGAGTGTGTGGTGGCCAAACTGTACCCACAATGTCTTCAGAAAGTGCTCTGAGAGGGCCATGGGGAACGGGTGGCAGGTAGCCAAGCAGTTAGAGCATTGGGCCAGTAACCGAAAGTTTGCTAGTTCAAATACCCGAGCTGACAAGGTGAAACATCTCTCTGTGTCCTTGAGCAAGGCACTTAACCCTAATTTGCGCCAGGGGCGCTGTACTGCTATGGCTGACCCTGTAAAACATCACATTTCACTGGACCTATCCAGTGTACGTGACAAACATTTATTGGGTTGAACCCCTCCGGGAGGAGGGAGCGTGAGGTCCTGCTTGCCTTGTGCCTGATGCTGTCCTGTGTTGGGCAGTCAAGAGTTTAGTCTTAAAGCGTTAAAATATAAGGTTTAACGTGATCAAATAGGGGTGCTTTTAAAAGATTGCAGTATTTATGTTTTTTTCTTCCACTCAGCACCAAATACCCACACTGATGCTTGTTTTACAGTCCAGTGAATTATAAGTGCAATTATCATGTTTGCTTGTTGTTGAGCCATTTTGTTCAATTTTATCTTAAAGGCATATATAGGTTAGAATTTTTACAATTGATTGACATGCAGTTGATGGATCAGAATATGAAGTACCCTCTAGTTATGGAAATGATACGTCAGCATAAAGCGAAAATTATATATATATATGTGTAAGTATATTCATACGGGTAAGATGAGCGGTGTTGCTCATTGGTAGGTTAGCTCAGCTTGAGGGTTTTTTGTCTGACTTTTGTATTGATTTGAATGCTCATTGCTCCCTACAGCAAGCTCGTCTTTGTGGAAGTGTTTATTAGTTGTGTATGAAGTGTGCTAGTGATTTAGATCAATTTAGTATTATTGCCATGTGTGATCGGTATGATGCTATTTCATGAAACGCATACTTTGCTTTCAAGAGAAGGCCTAAATTGTGTCAACCAATGTGCTATTTGGCTTCGTTGCAGTTGGATTTATAATTTTTTAATTCGTAGATTAATGCAATGGACTCACACAGCTTCCCACTCAGAGCTGGCATCCATTTTGTTGCATTGAGTTTCACATGCCAAGACAATTTAAGAGAAGTTAGACTATTCACTCTCCACATTGGAGAAACAAGATGTGTGGCTGGCCAAGATAAGTGCGACATTTCGAACCAGGCAACAGTTTGCTTTGATAGCAACTTAACAGAAGCCAGATAAGGAATGAAGGGACATGGTTCAGGCTGATGCATTGATTTGGCCAAAGTGTGGTATTGATTACAATCTGATTTAAAAAAGTGTTTGGATTAACCTACCTCTTAAATGTCAAAATGCATTTAAGAACTTGTTTTGGTTAATCTGAAAAGTTTATCAAGTTTCAAGTAGTAATAACTAAGGAAAGTTTGCTACAATTAGGTAGGGCTGGGACGATACCAGTATCCCGATACTCGTTAATATCGTGGCAAGGAAACAAAACATGAAGTGGATATAACTATTTTAGGATTACAGTCCTAATGTTGGAAACAAACAAACATCATTATGTTGTTATCCAGAGTCACCTTTATTTATTTTCCAAGCTATAGCACAATATTCTACATACAGCAGGTTTTTAAAGGGCGAAATAGGGTTGTCTGCTTCGTGTTTTAATTTTTGCCGCTGAAAAAATATTGCGACGCTGGTATTGTCACAGCCCTACATTTAGGTTTACCCTAGTGGAAGTGCATTAACTATTGTTTTCAAGCTTAATTTGGGTACTTTGCTAGTTGAAATGTCTCAATATTTGCCTGTGTGGCTGGCTGCTGTACAGTAGTAGTCTGAGGAGGAGATCCCAAGGGGGATGTCATTGTGCCTATGGGTGGGTGGGGGCATCAGATAGTAGTCCTGTGTGTTTAGCCTGGCGAGGCAGTGTCTCTAAAATATTACTCATCATTGCACTGAATCACTCTTCAACGGTCCGTCACTGCAAACTTGACCAAGCAGCACCCTCCTGGACAGAGCACTACCACAGTGTTCTTCTTTTATACATGAATCCATCTGTATGCTATGACATGGAGAAAAACTAACTATTGGTGCTGCTTTTTTGATAATATTGTATATATTGAATAAGTAACAGCAATTGAGAGATGTTCCCTATGGAACTGCAACAAATTCAATGACATCAATTTCCTCATATGCAGGTTCCTGTGTCATCTTTGCACTACATATGATCATTTATTTGATCTCATATTTTAAGCATTTCCCCAAAATATATCATCAACAACAAAGCAATCTTGGGAAATGCAGTTCTGTCTTCACAGAATTTGAAATGGAGAGTAGTATGAAAACATTCTATGTTTGGAGCTGTGGACATTAAAAACTTTTGTAAAGAAAAATACTGCACATCATTTGGCGCTGGTTTGATCTGGCCAGAGCAGTGCCCTCCATGGGTGAGGAAGGAGAAAAGAGTTTCCCCAAATGCCTAAAAACTCAGTCGCATGGGAACCAGGAATGGACAACTCAGGATTTCTATTGATACACAGTACTGTATTTAAAAATGTATTGTTTCATGTGTAACATACGTTTGCTGTACTTGCACAATTTTTTACAACTTTTTTTTATTTTTTAACTTGAAAAATATACTTATTTTGTTATTTTCAATGGCTGTTTTTCCATTTTCTATATTTAGTTATAGAGTGATTCTGTTCTGTATCCCACACAAGATGAATATCTGCACATAAAGATAATATTCTCAGTACTTTTTCTTTACCAAAACTTTGCAATAAGCAGGTCTGTAACTCCAACGTTACATTCATATCTCCAACACACCAGTCTTGTGAAATACTCAAAGCGTACAACGAATCAGCCAATCAATGTGCTTTCTGTGCAAAAGCTATAGTTGGCCTTGTGTGGCCATGCCCAAGCTCATTCAAGTCCTGTATGTATGCATCCTCCATGGATGGCTACTAGCAGTGGAATCTTACTGCTTTTCTTTTTGTTTGCTGGTTTGTGTGTGTAGTTTGGGGAATAGTGGTGGTTGAGCTCAACTGTGAAATTCACATTGCACATAATTTGAGAATAAAATGACAAGTGAAACCATAGTGACTTTTTTTTATGCCATATTATTTGGTGCTGGATGAATATTTGCTAACCTTTTATTCCCCTTGTAGCTTATACTGTGTGTGTGTGTGTTTATGTATATGTGTGTATACATATGTGTATATATATGTATGTGTATGTATGTATATATATATATCTAGCTAGCTATTTTTAAAAGTAGGCTAACCTAGATCACATTCATGTAACATGTTATGAGACATGATACCCATCACTAGTTAGTTACAAGGTTGCAACTTTGGTAACAAATATACCTAGTTGACATCACTGAGTAGCGACATTCTTGTGACCTTTTTAGTGAAAGATAGGACAATCAGAAATAGATTTGTGTTTGGCTAAAAGATAAACCAGCCAGAATTGATTACCTAGGAGCCTAAAATGCTAATTCCTAGACTTTTGGGAGCATAACACAGTCACGGTTCTAATTCAATGAACCAATAGGGGCGTCTGAAAAATAAAATCGATATGTTTCAGAAACTTTTGTGGGTGAACTGGGAGTTTAAGTTCTGGGCTATTCGTCGTCAAGGTAAGATCGTTTTATTTTTTGTCTCGCACCTAACGTATAATATTTTGACCCGCTTCAACTTTCTGTTGTGTGTATGTATTCCAAGTCGGATATCCACGTGTACAAACGAAATTTGAGTCTGAATTTGTTGAGGGTAGCACAAATCATCATTAGGCTACTTCTTATACAAATACATTCTTAGAATTGTAAGAATTGACTTTATTGGATCCGGAGAGAGGTGATGCAACTTCATAAGCAAAAACCTAAACTAAACTGCCCTCGTTCGTTTACGTGCTTCTGTGTGCGTCTCATCGTCAGGTAGTCTAATGCAACTTCCATATCCTCCTGAGATCCGAAAAAAAAAGTCAAATGTTGGGGGTAAAAAACAACAACATGGTACCAAAAAAAGTGAAAAAATATTATTTATATTTTATTGTAAGTGCAAAATTGGACTTTGTAGTGGTCATTAGGACGTAAATATGAAAAGATGTACGTTACAGTCAATGGGTACAGTAGATTAAAAACATTTGCTGGCACCCGGGTGTCCACTACAGAGGACATTTCTTGATTAACTCGTATTTAGGTCTTATTTAATGTCAAAAAAATATTACACAGTCCTGACAACCTGGGTCAAAGAATTGGTTTGGGTAAATAAAGTGATTTGATTGACTGCTCTCTGTGATGATTCATCTGCTTTCAAAAAAAAAAAGGTACATTCAAGATTTGGTTTGCTTTCATGAAACAATTTGATCATCATCATCCTCCCCTCTATCGACAGAAACATGTCCCCTGCACCAGCATCTATTCTGGGGGACACTCCTCCGGATGGGGGCTGGGGCTGGGCCGTGGTGTTTGGGGCCTTTATCTCTATCGGCTTCTCATATGCCTTCCCCAAAGCCCTCACTGTCTTCTTCAAAGACATACAGCTGATCTTCGGTGCCTCCTACAGCCAGATAGCATGGATTTCTTCCATCATGCTGGCAGCCATGTATGCCGGTGGTGAGTAGACATGCATGTAGCCAAGCAGCTCTGAGTCAGCATTGAGTCAATTATGACCACAATGCACAGATGATTTATTAAGGGATGCATGGCTTGTATGGAGCGTTGCAGTTGCTTGTTTTCTTTCATCCCCAAAATGTAGGCCTGTATCTTCCATGTGAGGACTCATTGTAGTAGCTGTAACTAATCAAGAATAGTGAGTACTACTGTGTTCAAATGACTATGAAAGCCTAAAAAGTAAAGTCTTTGTGAAGTTGTCTCCTCTACAATGATATTTATTATTCGGGGATAATAACATCTGTTTGTAGTTTATTTAGTAAGTTTACTAGTTGAAGAAAATACTGTAGTAGGCTATTTAAGATGAAAGACAAGCAATTGTAAGTAACCTAACTGACTTGATCATGTTGATAGAATAAGCAGCTTGCTGCCTCTTACTTTACTCTAATCAGCTTTGACAGCAACCTCTTTCATCCTGGAAACCTTTAAATATAATATATTGAATTAAACTAACTCGTAAACCAGTGGCTGCATCTTGCTGCCTATTGTTAGGCTTCATATGGAAGGGGTAGAAATAGGTTGCACCTGACACGAATTTGGATGTTTAAACAAACCCACTCTTTATCAGTGGGGCTGTGCGGCGGCAGGGGATTCACCCTGGGGCACGTTCAGTTGGCCATCATTGAGTGAATCAGGTCACAAATGTCTGGACTGTCAGTTGCAAATGTTATTTATTTTGTTTGCCCTTGCTCTGTTTGCATGAGCATTTGTACAGTATATTCATAATTGTCAGTCTGTGACTCAAGTGTAAGGATGTTTTATAATGCACCTTGAATGACTCATTAGATGACACTGAGAATATTATAATGGAATGATGCAATTGAAGTTTGAGGTAAATCCATCAGGATCTGCAAGGTTAAAAGACGACAGGGCGCCTGACTCACCTGCAGTCACCAGCATAGAGAATCCTGTGAAATATTCCCACGCACAGTGGCAGAGGCACATGTCTTTATCATATTGTCCTTGACTGGGCTTTTGCAATGTCACACAGTGGAAACAAGACGGGGAATATATCATCCGTCAGCACATTTGGGTCTCACAACAAGTCCCTATGGGACCAATGACTTAGGGAGCCAGAGTGATAAAGTTATAATGGGTGAGGAAATTGTGATGATGCCACCCCAAAAATGACACAGGCACTAGGAGGATGGGATCTATACGTACCCCTAGTCTCTATATCCACACAGGGTTTGCTAGGCTGGATGAATCTGTTCAAGCAATGGTTAAGGGCACTGCTAGGATGACATTTTTTTATGTAATAGCTAATCCAGAGATATCTTCTGTATCTTGTAGATAGGTAAATATGCAAGTGTATCTTTTTATCTACAGATTCAGCTGTAGTAAAAAAAATAATGTTATGCTGCAATGACTAAACATTGCATTTTACAATGATAAAAAAATCAAAAAGACTAGATATGGAGAAAGAGTGTACCTCTGGAGGTGATCATAAGTGGATTTGATTAAAAAACAAAACAGAAATAAAATGAGGATGCTAGTTATTCTTTGAACCTGTGCAGTGTACAGCTGCTTTTACATTAAGTATAACACCAAGGTCATTGTCATAATGTCTAATGGACCAGTGAAATGATTAGTTTTTTCACCTTTAGCTCGTCCTTTTGATGTGCATAAATCCTGATCCATGTAGATAAACAAGAACGATTTACAATGTGTTTTTTAATGCATGTAATCAATTTTGGACAATGGATTCAACTGTATGCCAAACTGTAATCTTCTTATTGTTTACTATGAATTTTCTATTATCACCCGCCTTGCAGTGTCATTCCAGCACTGACTAGAAAGGCAGCATGTTGAGTTTTCAATATTCGTGTCAGCCTACATATTTTTTTGATTGATGCACCCTCATCTTTTTTTGTTAAATGAATTGTGGGGAATGATTTAGTGACTATTTAAATCATCTGGTTTTAGCAGGGAACAGAAGTGGGTGTTAAGTTGTGTGATGCTAAAGGACTGTTCTACATGTTCTCTGTGGCAGGGTTATGAATGAAGGATAAAGAGAGACAGAATATCGAAGGCTATTTAATGATTGATCACTCACACTAGGTTTTTTTGTGGGAACATTATCAGGAGAAATACAAATGAGGCACTGGCCTACTTTGCTTATGTAGGTAAGGTAACTATTTAGAACATCAGCTATCTCTTCACGCCCGACATAAGTTACTATGTGTGGATATTACACCAGCAGTGCATTAGGGGTAACGTTAAGATCAAGGGTTAGGTTTCGGCAGGGATCTATCGGTCCGATGTCAACTGCCTATCTATTATCTCAATGCTGTATGAACCTAAGACGGACACTTTCTCTCCCCTTTTGATCTCTCCTCTCTCATTTTTTTCTTTGCAGGACCTATCAGCAGTATTCTGGTCAATCGCTATGGAAGCCGGCCTGTGGTCATAGCTGGTGGAGTGATATGTGGCGTTGCTATGGTAACTGCTTCTTTTGGCAATACCATTACGCATTTGTACATATGCGTAGGAGTCATTGGAGGTATGGTACCCACTCATTCCATACATTTGATTGACATGGCTTGTTTTTTGATTGATGTGTATATGTGTGGGCCAACAGAAACAAAAATAATTTGTTTTTAACTGCATTGAAGTTGACTAATGAGAGATACTAATAGTTTCTGTAGGCCTAATCCATAAACTTATTATATGCTCTAAATGTGAAAACCTAAGCAATTTAATTGTTGGTTCTATTGATGATACTGTAGTGAATGCATTATACATAAAACACAATATTAGATATAGGCCTCAGAGTTTTCTTCTGGAAAGACATCTGGGACGATGACTGGACTGGTTGGATGTTGTGTATGTGAAGTAAAGTGTGAATCAACCCTCTACCATCACTCAACCAGCCCTGGTGGTGCTCCTATGGGGGTGCATATCCTCCCTGGGTGGCCCTGGTCTCCCTGGCTGGGCTGGCATGCAGTCTGTCTGTCTGTCTGGGCCCAGGGTCTCTCAGCCTCTGGGCTTGGACCGGAGCACTGAGGGGACAGCGAAGGTGTAATTAAGACGGTGTCATTCCGGTTTCCGGAGAGCACGGTCTACCAGGGCCCCCTGTTCTTTCCCGTAGGCTCCCGTCCTGGTCCCCTCACGGGAGTGTCCGCCATCCGCCACCCTCCACCCAGCAAGACTCATTAGCCAGCGCCAGACCTGCAGGCCTGGAAGATTAATAGAGGGAGGAGGTGGCTATAGGGCCTTGTGTTGTGTTCTAATCTCTCTTCATCCCATCTGCCCTGGCCTGCTGAGATGTGCTAGCTAGGCTAACACACACGTCCCTCTCTCACATACATCTTACCAGTCCGTTGAATGCTGCCACAAACACCCTGTGAGTTTAGGTGGTAGTTGAGATACAGAAGGCCTTTTAATTGCAGTTACCTTTTAAGTTGAAGTGATTTTCTCCGTTTGTACCCTCTCAAAGAGCCAAATAACAAATAAAAGGAGTATTAATTTCTAATCATTGTACTTGAATGAGCCTCCTAATTCAATCAAGTTGAGACAGCCATAATTGTTGACCACCTCTTTAGACAATGGAGATGAAAGCTAATCAAAATCTGCATGAAGTCTGTGTTAGCATTATGTAATTTCAATCCGGGAAGAATGCATACTGAGAACAATTTTTTATCTGTGAACTTCGTAAAATAAGGCTTTGGAAGATGTGTAGCTCAGTGGGCATTGTTTAGTGTGGGATTGTGAGCAGCAGACATTTAGCAAATGTTAGAATGATGGAATGGGTCAGTCGGGGTCTCTACCTGGAGCTCTTAATCTTAAAGTGAAGACTCATTTAGAGAATAAGATGCTCATTTACAGGCTGAAATACTTCTAAATTGGATTTTTGGGAAAGGAGGTAGTAGTGAATGGATTAGCCGGAGCCTGTAATTTATTGCCATTTAAATGGAGAAATCATTTCTGAAATTATTCCAGCTTCCCTTAATGAGATTTTAGTAGGCAATGTTCAATGAGATGGAACCTTAATGTGCACAAAGTAGAATTGGTCTTAATTTAATCCTGCGGTACCAGGCGTTTAAATCAAGGTTTTAGCCTCTGAAAATGGAACTTGTGAACGTGACTACTCTCCTCTCTTGTATTTCCCGCAGGGTTTGGACTCTCTTTTAACCTTCAGCCATCCGTCACCATCATTGGGAAGTACTTCCAGGTCAAGAGGCCGTTAGCCAATGGGCTGGCCATGGCAGGAAGTCCAGTCTTCCTCTGTACCTTAGCACCTATCAACCAGTTCCTGTTTAACCAATTTGGCTGGAGGGGCAGTTTCTTAATCCTGGGAGCTCTACTGCTCAACTGCTGTGTTGCCGGCTCTCTCATGAGGCCCATTGGTCCAAAGCCAACTGGAGACCAACTTGCGCAGACAAACGGAACCCCAAAGAAACCTACCACCGACCGGTCTGAGGCCCAGGTGAATGGACACAACACACAGCTGGAGAAAGGCTGTATGGACAACTTCAACAAGTTTCTGGACCTCTCTCTCTTCAAGCACAGGGGCTTTCTGATCTACATCATAGGGAACGCGGTGATGTTCTTTGGTTTCTTTGCCCCTGTAGTGTTCCTGACCCCTTACGCCCTGAGCCATGGCTTCGACGAGTACTCCTCCGCCTTCCTCTTGTCCATCATGGGCTTCGTAGACATGTTTGCCAGGCCGTTGACAGGGCTGATGGCTAACACTAAGTGGATCAGGCCCAGGATACAGTACTTCTTCAGCTTTGCCATCATCTATAACGGTATATGCCACCTGCTGTGTCCCTTGGCCAGTGGGTACGGGGGGCTGGCGGCCTACTCAGTGTTCTTTGGCATAGCGTTTGGCATGGTGTGTGCTCTGCTGTTTGAGACACTCATGGACCTGGTGGGGCCTCAGCGGTTCTCCAGTGCAGTGGGACTGGCCACCATCATAGAGTGCTGCCCCGTGCTCCTGGGACCACCTATTGGAGGTAAGCCTTCACACTGCACACAGCCCACAATCCCCCTCTCTCTCAAGTCAGTACACATCCATACAGCTCATAGACAACTAATGCTACGACATCTTTAGCCAACAGACAAACATACTCCCTATTGACAAAGGACAAGCACTAATTTCCCTTTAGTCAACAAACACTCTCCCTCCAGTTCCCCCAAGACCACCTCTCCATTGTCATTCAATACATGTCTGACAGTATCCGAGTGTTACACATGCACTTGAGAGAACCTTTATTGTCAGAGTATAGGAAAAGTCCTACTTTAGAATAAGTTTGGTAAATAAAACAGAACATGGATTTGGAGCAGAGAAAACCCGCCAGTCAGTTGTGTCATTCTCACTCTGCTACTCGGTCACGGCCGTGCGCTGCATGGTGGTGGAGTGGAGCCCAACTACTTTCCAGGGTGTCATTATTGTAAGACATTCCAGTAGAATTGGATTATCATCGGTGAGCAGGGTGGCCTGGAGCGCATGGCCTGCCCAGAGAAAAAGCAGTAATTGGTCACGGTTATTTACTGCTGTAAATAAGCCGGGCCGCTTCGGCTTTCAGGGCACGCCCGCTAGAGGATTCGTCCTCCACACAAATGATGGAAATTTTTTGGGAGCTAAGAAGCCGTAAGGGTAATGAAGGTCTCTCTGCGACTCTTTCTCTCCGTCTATTTTCTCCTTCTCTCTTTACCGGGTCCCCTCGGTCTAAAGTAGACCTACTGCCACTGGTTGCAAACACAAGCTTAGAGAGTTTCAGTTATTGGAGTAATGGAAACCTTTGACCATTGCGATGTTGCAAACTTCATTTGATTAGCTGATAATACATTTATGGAGAATTATGGATATAAGTCAAATCATTGACCTTTAACCCCAAATTCTAATTAGCGAGCACAATCTAGTACACTTTACTATTAAAACGATGCCATAAATCTCTCTCAGAATCTAAGGTTTAGGAGGAGAAAGGCCTTTCCCCATAATAGCTTACTACTGATGAAATGAACACCAGGAATCATTGTGCAAGGTTATTCCAAGACGGGTCCTCTTTTTTTATACCGCAAGCAGAGTGTTTTACAGGACCTTTTTCCTTTCATGCTTTTTTGAGTGTGTAATCAAAAAGGTATTGTTTCCCGCCCATATTTCCCTGAGATTGCTAGGGATAGCACACCCTTTGAAAACTCTGTCTCCTACAGCCCACTTTCATTTTGGTCTTATTTAGCACAGAGGAGAACTAACAATGCTAACATTCTCTGCTCAGCCCAAGCTGTTAAATAACACATTTACATGGAAGTGAACTTGCTTAGTCTTTGAATCACCTGTGGTTTTTCTCTGACTGAATACAAATGTTCTCAGAGTGCAGCTAGTCCCTCTTATTTCACAGTCTCTGAAATGGCAGACTGACACAAACGGTGGAGTGAAAAAGGAGGGAGAACGGGCTCTGTCAGAACACATACAAACTTCAGCATACCAACTGGTTGTCTGTGTAGTCTGCCTGGTAGAAGTAGGCTCACGTTTGTTGGCATTCTTTTTTTAAATCTCCTCTGCAGAGTTTTAATGAGGTGTTAATGTATAGTCCTCCTGGTTGTTTTGTCCGACCCCGTTCTGAGGTGCTCATTTAATGGGGGTAAATAAGCGCCTCCCTGCACATTGAGCGTTCTTCTCCAGACAGCAGAGTCTCTACATTTCCCCTTACAAGTCTCCTCGTTATAGCCAGCCTCGTCGTGCCGCACCGTGCCTCCGCCCAAACCTGGGGGTCAGCCTAATTAAGAGAAAGTGAGGTAATTGATGTAATTAGCCTTTTGCTTTCGGTGTTTAATGAATCTCAGTTCAGACTTCACTCATTAGAGGCCCGTACCTGGGCCATAATGAAGCCATGAATACATTTAAAAAAGAGGTGACTCTGCCAGATGGACTTAATTACTGTTCAGCCAATCAAGGGCTGCCTTAATGAGGGTGATGGTCATCTGCACACACCCACAGGACAGAACGCCATTAATCAGACCATGTCCCTGTTGCTGCTTTGTACTGGACCACGGGCAAAGTGACCTCCACACGCACACGCACAAACACAGAGAGAGAGAGAGACAAACTCATGCCCCCATCATCAGCTTCATTTAAAATTGACTCATTAAGACCTATCTTTTAATTGGTTTACATAACCTGAAAACTGCTCTTCTATTTAACAACCTAACTCTGTGTTCATGTATAGTGGGTTGTTTAGTATTGTGTTGATTGTGTCTCCCAGACGACTCAATAATGCCAGACTCAGTAATTGACCATTAGTAACTGATGTTTGCGGGAAATGAGTCCATTACAGATAAACACCTCAATAAAAGTTTGAAATGTAGAGAGCAATCAAAGGCCATGTCTCGTTGCACAAAAAAGGGAAAGTTACATCAGATACATAAAAGGGATGTGGTTAAATCATGTTGTGTTGCTCTGCTGTGAGCGTTCGAGAGCTTGGGACTGTAAGTTTCTTTCTGCGTTTTTGTCAAAATTGAGTTATTGACATAGCTTTGTTCTGTTTAATGTTCTCTACCTATATAGTACTCTAAATACCCCAATTGATGTTGTTAAGTTCGAAAGAATACAAGATAAATATTGCTGAAACCAATGAGGGTTCAGAACTTTAAAGGCAATTATCTCAGAATCATCTTTTTGCAGATAGAACCTTATAGTTCCAAGCTCTCGAGTTATACTTTCTAAAGTTATTCATTGTGAATGAATTAGTCAATGACCATAAACTGGGCATACAATAGCTTGGGAAATTACACTGTTGTCACATTTGATCTTCCCTTTCATTAATCAATTTAGTGGTTCCTACAAACATCTGACATGCATGATCGTGCAGATTGTTATACAGTATGCACAGACGGACAGACAGACAGATGATTAGATGCACACTGTGGAGGCTGAGTGAGATGGGGAGGACTGCAGATCGATCCGGGGGGAGGGTGGGAAGGGGGAGGTTCAAGAAGCTTATGGCTCCAATCTGATATAAACTACATTTGTCACTTTTCCTCTGAAGCGGGCTAGATTTTGATCATTTTCAGAATTGACATGGCCACACTCCTGATTCGTTCTGGTGCAGCAGCCCAAATTGCCTTCCCAGAGAGCCGTGGCAAGCAAGGTCAGGTGTAATGGCTCCATGTCATTTCCTACATGTCTCCAGTAGGATCTTTTACTCTACAGAACAGAGTTTGAAAAGCACATCTAAACCATACCCATGTTACACCTCCTGATTCACCTTGTGGAGAGCGATGGGGAAAGGCTTCCCTTAACCCATAACAACCTGTTGATAGGAAGATACTATAAGCAGGGGGGATTTTGTGGGCATCTTGATAGGGGGGAAAAGTTAGCTACTTTATGTAACCTTCAGTAACATCTCCCCTCTGCTCCCCTTCAGGAGCCTTGGTGGACGCCTTTGGTGACTACAAGTACCTGTACCTCATGTGTGGAGCGGTGATGGTGTTCGCAGGACTCTTCCTCTTTGTTATGAATATCTACAACTACAGGATGCTGGAGCGGGAGAGGCGGCAGGAGGAGGGAGAGGTGGAGGAGGGCTGTGAGAGCCAGGACCAGGAGCAGGGGCTGGGGCTGAGGGAGAGGGGAGAGCCCTCCTCAGAGGAGCTAGGAGAGGCAGGGAAGAAGGCTAAGAAGCAACAAGACGCCCAGGGAGACGAACCAGAAACGGAGGAGACTAAACTAAGCCATGCATGATACCACTGTTTACAAGTACACTCATATATTGATATCAGTATATAGGCCTACCCAATACTGTATATAGCCCCCCCCCCCCCACACACACACACACTACTACTAACCTTGGAGGGGGACACTCCTGAAGTTTTTATTCTTATGTTGTTTTTCCCCATGTAGCAGTTTTTCCCCCATGCTGACAAAGGCTGTTTGGAAATAAGTACTTCTGACTGTATGAGATCAAATAGCAGTGTAATCCTTTCTGGAACTTTATTTATTTATTTGAGCTGCCAGGTGTGCCACTCCCCTGAGCCGTCCCAGCTAGTATCAATTTTTTTTGGTGCTCAGGAAATTCTCCTTGCCCTAGGTATACCGTATAAGTTAAAACCACCTAATAATTATATTTAAAGTTACATTGAGTGTTATTCTGTGAATTATAAAAGTTAAATTCATATGTTAAATAATGTATGAAACTGAACACACATTTGCAGTTGAGGTGTGTGTCACGTACATACCGAGGATGTAATATTTCAGCCTTGAGGTAGTCATGAACATTTTACTCTTCTACCTATTGATGTTACAATGAGTGGATGAAGAATGCCACATGTTTTTACATGCACTGTTATAGACATAATGATGTCATTTTATATTCTTGTTCAGGATCCATTTATATTTGAATATGACCAAAATAAGTGTCTGCTTTTACATTTTCACAAATAGATCATAGAATGAATGTACAAACAGTTTCAGCTGTTATGACAACAAGGTAATTCATGTCTAGATAGGTTGTAGCTTTGCATTCACTGTTTTCTTTAGTGTTTTTTGAAAGATGCATTTATTGTTATAAGATACTGATGGGAACTCACTTTTTTTTAATGCTGTATTTGAAGGACTGTATTATAAGTTAATATGGATGTTGAGTAAAGTGCTCAGCAATAAATGACATCATTATCATTCAGTATTTGCATATCATTATTTCATAAAAAATTATATCAATTACAGTTCACCAGATGTGAATAGACTGTCATTCACCTGTGTCTAAGTTAACTCTTGACATGTAGCTATTGTAATGGGTAAGATTATTGTTTCTTGTAGTTTTACCACTACAATTCAGCTAAGATAAAACCATGTCTGTGTGTTCTATTTCTTATCAGCAGGTTAACATTGGGAGAGGAAAATGACAGTCAAAGTGGCACAGAGCATGGTGTCAAAGCCAGCTTTACCATGCAGCCATGACTGTTTGGTGTCAAAGCCAGATTTACCATGCAGCCATGACTGTTTGTTTGTAGCTGTGTCTAATTTTTCACGCCAATTAGAACGCTGTGTAACAATTTTGAAAATGTCAGCGCTAAGGGTGTGACTAGCTAATGAAGCAAGGCCCGATGTTCCAGGCTAGCGCTCTGAGCCGCATGCAGTCTGACACACTCAACAAATCACTAAGCCAATAAGTTAGAACACACACACACCAGCCCACTGAGCCCAGCCCAAGGTCCTGGGACATGGCAAGGTGGGGGATATCCCAGAGACCGGGGGATGGTCGCTGAGTCTGAGGATCTTTTTGTTATAATAATATTTGATTTCACCTCACCCCCTGTTCCCTCCACCCTGTTGACCCCCTACCCCAACCCCCATCTACACCCTGTGTTTTCCCATAATGCTCCTTTATGCTCTTCCTCAGAACAACTTCCTGGTCTCTGGTGTGTCCACAGCGGTGGTTGAGTGACCAACCTCTCCACACAGGGTTGATGGAGGACTTTGAGGTCATGTTGACACAACCTGGTCTCAGAGCATTTCGTTTTATGTTGTACATAAATCTGAGACACTCCATTTAGTATGATATGTTATGTTTCGTATGGTATGTATTAATTTGTGGGTGTCCATCAACCATTTCAAATGATATGTTACGAATGACCATTTGCAAAAGGTACGATATGTTACGAATTCTGGCTAGGTGGCTAATGTTAGATAGCTGGCTAACGTTAGCTAGGCTAGGGGTTAGGGTTAAGGTTAAGTTTAGGAGTTAGGTTAATTACATTTACATTTACATTTACGTCATTTAGCAGACGCTCTTATCCAGAGCGACTTACAAAATAAAAGGTTATGGTTAGGAGAAGGCTTAGCTAAAAGGGTTAAGGTTAGGGGAAGGGTTCTTTAACATGCTAAGTACTTGCAAAGTAGCTAAAAAGTAGTAAGTAGTGGAAAAGTTGCTAATTAGCTAAAATGCACAAGTTGTCCATGATGAGATTTGAACTCGCAACCTTTGGGTTGCTAAACATTCACGTTATATACCTACCCATCCACCCTGACCAACCACCCTACTTTTGTTTTTTCGTTAAGTAACCATCTGTCATATGTAACCATACCAAACGTAACAGACAGTGCATTCGGAAACCCCTTGACTTTTTCCATATTTTGTTACGTTACAGCCTTATTCTAAAATGGATGACATTTTATTACCCCATATTGACAAAGCAAAAACTTATAACAAATCTAAAACTGAAATATCACAATTACATAAGTATTCAGACCCTTTACTCAGTACTTTGTTGAAGCACCTTTGGCAATGATACAGCCTCAAGTCTTCTTGGGTATGACGCTACAAGCTTGGCACACCTGTATTCGGAGAGTTTCTCCCATTCTCCAATGCAGATCCTCTCAAGCTCTGTCAGGTTGGATGGGCAGCGTCGCTATATTCAGGTCTCTCCAGAGATGGTCGATCGGGTTCAAGTCTGGGCTCTGGCTGGGCCACTCAAGGACATTCAGAGACTTGTCCCGAAGCCACTCCTGCGTTGTCTTGGCTGTGTGCTTAGGGTCGTTGTCCTGTTGGAAGGTGAAACTTTGCCCCAGTTTGAGGTCCTGAGCGCTCTGGAGTAGGTTTTCATCAAGGATCTCTCTGTACTTTGCTCTGTTCACTTTCCATTGATCCTGACTAGTCTCCCAGTCCCTGCCGCTGAAAAACATACCCACAGTATGATGCTGCCACCACCATGCTTCACTGTAGGGATGGTGCCAGGTTTCCTCCAGACGTGACGCTTGGCATTCAGGCCAAAGAGTTCAATCTTGGTTTAATCAGAGAATCTTGTTTCTCATAAAGGTCCTTTAGGTGCCTTTTGGCAAACTCCAAGCAGGCTGTCATGTGCCTTTTACTGAGGAGTGGCTTGGTTTTTGCTCTGACATGCTCTATCAACTGTGGGACCTTATATAGACAGGTGTGTGCCTTTCCAAATCATGTCCAATCAATTGAATTTACCACAGGTGGACTCCAAACAAGTTGTAGAAACATCTCAAGGATGATCAATGGAAACAGGATGAACCTGAGCTCAATTTCGAGTCTCATAGCAAAGGGTCTGAATACTTATGTAGATAAGGTATTTCTGTTTTTAATTTTTTATACATTTGCCCCCCCCCCCCCAAAAAAAAATAACGTTTTATGCTTTGTCATTATTGTGTGTAGATTGATGAGGATTTTTTATTTATTTAATCAATTTTAGAGTAAGTCTGTAACGTAACAAAATGTGGAAAAAGGGAAGGGGTCTGAATACTTTCCGAATGCACTGTATCATACTGATTTGAGTGTCCCGGATTTACATTTACTATGTTACATCTAGTCTATGAGACCAGGCTGGTTGCATAAAGCATAAAGTATTGTATGTTGTCCCCTTTATTAGGTTTTATTATCTTCACGATGGAAGTGTGAATGCATGATAAACGTGAACGTGTGGTCATTGAGAGGGAGCAATGTATTTTATATTATAAACTGGGTGGTTTGAGCCCTGAATGCTGATTGGCTGAAAGTCGTGGTATATCACGGGTATGACAAAAAAATACTTTTTACTGTTCTAATTATGTTGGTAACCAGTTTATAATAGCAATAAGGATATATGGCCAATATACCACGGCTAATGGCTGTATCCAGGCACTCTGCATTGCGTCGTGACAAGAACAGCCCTTAGCCGTGGTATATTGGCCATTTACCTCGTTGGGCATTATTGCTTAAGTATGCTGTATTTTTGTGGAGTTGAGATGTGGCAAGACATTGACAAGTTATTTTGCAGAAATGTACATGCTTCTCTTATGAAATTAGGATATAAGACACTGATTGGCAGATCACATGAATATGTCATTTCTAGTTAAGAACTAAGATACAATAGGCAAATTAAAGACTCAGTTTTTGTTAAGATAGTGTCAATTTTACATCAGATGAAAAGCCTAACATAATAAGATGGATATACTGTTAGTTTAATGGGTGTTTTTCTTGACCTTGGTAATGCAGGTCTATACTGTGTATGAATTTAGAGTTGGCTTGCACAACGAACACAGTAAGACCCGTGGTGAGATGGAGAGATGTAGTCCCTCAGGGCTCAAAGAGCAACACCATCTATCAGCAGTAGAAATTGAATAGGTTGTGTTTCTCTGAGCTTCACAGATTAGATAGGCATAGATGTTGTGCAAGCAGAGCAGAGGCTACCAGTATGCTTACCTTGCATCTGCTACTGCTGTAGGATCAAGCATAGCACACTGACATAACTCTGGGAAAACCTTCTGTGGAGATGACATGTTCTAGTTATTGGTTTAGAGAGAACATCCCTGTGCCCTGGAGTATAATGCCAGACCTGTATAATGCCACACTAGGCAGCCCAGCAAGTCTTATTATGTGTTATAGATGGGATGTTTGGTAATGTGTGATTCCCATTGGAGTGTTCTCTGCGTATGAAAGCGAGGTTCATCAGAGACGGCTTAGATTTCTTAACCCTCATAGTACTGACTGGGGTCATCTTAACCCCAGAGGCAAACATTTTATCATAGCCCAAAGGTGGTTTATTCTATTCTTCAAAATTCTCAGGACTTAGTCAATCACCTTGTTCTTAACAAATATAAATAATTATTAAGTGTTTCTGTATCAATATGGACTTTTAAAACAATTATGTTCTTTGGGGTCATTATGACCTCAACCTTTATTTGAATATACACTACCAGTCAAAAGTTTGGACACACCTAATCATTCAAGGGTTTTTCTTTAT